ACTGATCAAACATTCAATATTAATATCAGTATATAAAATTTTTTATACACCGATAATTTGATATACCGATACTTTTTCCCAAAACAGCAGCATCGGTATATAGAGGTTTAACTGTATCTATTTCTTTTTGCAGCAACATTGGTACACTTTGTTTTGATAGTGCTCCAAACTTTAAAATTAACATGAAAACATTTATTTGCTCAATAATATATCTAATTTAGACTAATCGGTCCAATGATACGTTAAGATGTAAAAAGTTTCTTCATATTCTTACTACTGTTAGCTGCTAATTTTTAAAATTTCAAAGTCAATTTTATGTGATCGACTTAGCATAGCAGATACTAAAAATTATATTTGCCGTGTGAACTTACCAAAGTATTAGATAATTGAATAAATTTTTCATATGTAACTGAACCATGTTTGCAGTTTCATAATTTATGGATATTTTACAGTGCTACTTATACTGGTTAATTTCACTTTGCGACGTTAAACCAATGTAAAAAATACCGCACAATATATATTATTGTACAGCTAATCCAGAACTAATTTATCTAAGGTTATTAATGTATCAAACCAACATTCATAAGTTGTATTAATATTGCATTCTATTGATATCAACTCCTGAATAAAGTAGTTTAATTCTTAAGTAATTTAGCGTGTTAGTTGGTTAAAGAGAACGATTCATTATCATCTAGTTGAACAATTTATACATCATTCTTCTGAATGATTCTTCGTTATTCTAGTTTAACAATTTGGGTCGCATTCATTTCACCGACAAACGATTTACCAACCATAATTTCACCGACAAACTTTTCACAGACAGAATCATTTCACGACAAACATTTCACCGACGATTATTTCACCGACACAATCATTTTACCGACAAACTTTCTACTGATGATCATTTCACCGACGTTTCAAAAATTTTGTAAGTTAAAAAATTACAATAAATGCTATAATTTATATTTTAATAAATTTGATTATTTATTCTGAAATATTTTTTTATTTATTAATTGCCCATCTAAACTAATATGTAACATTGATAATAAAATGAATATAAATAACATATGACCATTGAATTAGAAAATTCCTTTTTTTATTATTATTATAAACTTTAAATGTGAAGTATAATTTATTTTATTTTTCTATTTATGATTAATTTATAATATAAAATTTAATAAAAAATAAATAAATAAACTGTCGACGAAATGATCATGTCGATGAAATGATATTGACGGAGAAACGTTTGTTGGTGAAATGATTGTGTGTCGGTAAAATAATCATTAGTAAAACGGCTGATGAAATGAACCAGACCCATCATCAGGATTGAACCTTAATAATTACTCTAAGGTAATAAATAAGAAGATTCAAACAATGATATTTGACTTTATTATAATTTTTAGTTCGAAATACATAAATGATCCAATGTTCGAACTTTTTACTATTATATGATCTGTCGATTCACATTTATGGCAAAAATTCTAACATTTAACTAAAATTAACTGGAAATGGCTTTTTACATTACACAAAAAAAAGATCGCATCTGTGAAATGCAAATTTCCCAAAAAAAGGATTATAATGAACTTTTTTAAACTTACCCTTTTTTTAACGGGTGTTTATCAAAAAAAAATTATTTATTTAACTTACTATTTTTTTTTTATTTGTCAGATGTTTATCAAAAAAAAAAATTATTTTTTTATATTGAAATAATATTAATTAAATTAAATTAATTGAAATCATGACGTGTTTAAAATATAAATTACTTTACATGTTCATGTTAAGTTATTTATTACTTAAAGTTAAGTCATTTATCCCTGAAGGACGTCTAGCTCATTATACTGTCACTAGTTAAAGAGAAGCTGTATTTTTTTGGCGGATATGTTGATAATGCTAAGTCTTGCACAAATCAAGTGTTTTATCTCGATTTATCTCAGTCATTTAA